ATATATATATATATATATATATATATAACATTGACATCATTTCTCTTAATTTCAATTTATATAGCAAGATTGAGATCTTATAGCAGACACCAAACTGGATGTGATGAGAGAGATGAGAGATGGACGGCTACTGAGCCCATTTACGCGCCGTTTCCATGCTGACTCTTTTTTCCCAGCAAAAGTCAACTCCCTCGCTTCAATCCTACAGCATTTTATTGAATCGAGTTGCCCCTTCAAAGGCCAAGCTCTTCACGCTCAGATCATCAAGTTTGATCTCCAAGCTAACACCAACCTATCAATCAAGCTCCTCATTCTGTACCTTAAGTGCGGTTCGCTGGTTCATGCCCGCAATGTGTTTGATCGGATGCCAAGGCGAACTCTATCTGCTTATAACTACATGATTGCTGGGTACTTCAGGGAAGGCCGTTCTGAGGAGTCGCTAGATCTTGTACGGAAGCTCTCGTTCTCGAGTGAAAAGCCAGATGGGTTCACCTTATCGATGGCCCTGAAACTGTCGGCGGGCTTGGCTTCGTGCAGATTTCCAAGACAGGTCCACAATCAGATTGTCAGATTAGGAATCGATTCTGATGAAGTCGTGTTTGCTGCTCTCATTGACTCGTATGTGAAGAATGGGAATCTTGGGTATGCTAGGAGTGTCTATGATGCAATGTCGGTGAGGAATCTAGTGTGTTCTACTGCGCTGATAGTTGGGTATATGAATCAGAGGGCCTTCGGTAAAGCCGAAGAGATATTTCAGAATATAACAGAGAAGGATGCGGTTGTGTTCAATGCTATGATCGAAGGGTATAGCAAAGAGTTAGATGCAGCTGGAAGTTCAATTGAGGTCTACAAGATGATGCAACAGCTGAATTACCGGCCAACAATCTCTACCTTTGTAAGTGTCATCGGAGCTTGCTCTCTCTTGTCAGCTCTGGATGTTGGACAACAGATACATGGCCGAATGATCAAGATGGAAATCTTTTCTCATGTAAAATGTGGGAGTGCACTCTTAGATATGTATTCAAAATGTGGAGAAGTCGAGGACGCTCGGAAGATGTTTGACCACATGCCAGATAGGAATGTCTTTACCTGGACATCAATAATTGATGGGTATGGAAAGAATGGAATTCCAAATGAGGCTCTTAATCTTTTCTATGAAATGAAAAGCGAAAATGTTGGGCCCAATTATGCCACGTTCTTAAGTGTTTTATCAGCTTGCGGGCATGCTGGATTGGTGTCGAGTGGTCAAAAGATTTTTGAGAGCATGGAAAGGGACTATAAACTTAAACCAAGGATGGAACACTATGCCTGCATGGTAGATCTACTGGGCCGCCATGGAAATTTAAGTGACGCATATAACTTCATCCAGCAGATTCCTGAGAAGCCAAATTCTGATGTGTGGACAGCTTTGCTAGGAGCATCCAGACTTCATGGAGATTTGGAGATGGCAGATGCTGCAGCAAAAGAGGTTTTTAAGCTGAGTCAAAATGGAAGGCCAGGGGCTTATATTGCTTTGTCCAACACTTTTGCAGCTGCTGAGAAATGGCAAGGTGTCAGTGAAGTAAGGGATTTGATGAAAGCAAGGGGTGTCTCCAAAGGCATTGGTCAAAGTTGGATGGAGATGGACAAAGGTCTTTGAAACTTTCTTTTTTTGCAATACCAAAATTGATGCTGATGGAGAAGACCAATCTTTTTGACCGGAAATCAAATTCTTCTGAAGTCCTGGATGACAACTTTGGCTTGAGTTTGTAACCTATTTGGATACTGATTATATATTTTGCCTCAGGGCAAGTCTCAATGAGTCCATATCCTTACAAATTTAGCACCACGGCATTTCATAGTAGCAGTGAAATCCACACTGTGGTGTTACCGGGAGTATCGAAATTTTATCTATAGTGGAAATTGGTGACACAAATGAAATCATGCTACATACTACCTGTTTGTTCTCAGACAAGCTCTGTTTGAATCAACTCATTTTGCTATTATCTGATTAGGCAAGTGAAAAGCACTTCCTCCATGTCAACTCTTCAATTTTGTAGTTGGCTGAAGTTTTTAGCATTCTAAATGGTTCTCCTTTCAAGATTTACTCGTTCCTTGTACATGGGCAAGGCTCCTGTAGGTCTATTGCCTCTCAAATTGCTTGTTAACAGGCTGGTGGGTATATGTTCTTCCTTACAATGCAATGGCAAGTCTCCTGCAGGTGGATCATGCTTCCTCTGATCCACTGGCATCATTTTTGCAGTGAGAGCAGTCAAGGAAGACTACAGTTGGATATCTCACCACAAACAATGAGACTCTCTGACCTAAATGGCTTTAGAAATTTTATATGCTAATCAAGGCGATTGCTGGAAGCAAATACTGGTACTGAGTTTTGGCAGGTGTTCTCTCAACTTCACATCTTTCTAATTTATCTATAATTCAACAAAGTGTACATGTGTATGTCTTCAGGTTCAGGTATGTCCTCTTTCTAGTTGATCTTTTTTCTCATTTCTATTTCATTTGATTAACTCGAACTGATGCTTTGGTTTTTATTTATGAGAATATTATTGCAGCTGCCCAAACCAAAGCTTCAGACATATTCTTTTCGTAAAAAAGGATAAGATTACGTTAATAGGTGTTCATACAAAAGGTAGGAGGCTGATTGCTGCTCCAAAAAATATTAGCAGTGTTTCCTTGCAAAGTTTGCGAAGTTGTGGGCGAAAAAGTTCTGTTGAGAGCATATGGAAAATTATTGGCACCAGATGCATGTATAAAACTCCGAGAATTGTTATAAACAAGTAAAGATCTTAATAGAAAAATGGGAGATATGTAAAAGATGACTGGACTTTGTTTAGTTTGGCTTTTCAGATCCAACTTCTAGATTAATAAAGACAAGAAATCAAACTTCATTAAGAAAATGAGAAGGTTACAAGGATCACCCCAATGGGGAAAAGATAGGGAAAATTTAAGATACAACTGCCCAATGTATGACGGAACATTGGGTTTTTTTCTACATCTATTACTATCACACCCTTAAAATTTTTCATTTTCACTGCAGGAGTGATCTCTTCCTAAACAACATGGAAAAATACAAAAGCCATATATGCATTGTACACATGGATGATGATGATGATATTATGGAGACATCAAATGAAGAAGAGGCGCAACCAAATTCCTCAGATGCAAACAAGAGAGACCATCAAGGTTCTGGTCAAACTACCATTAAGTCTTCAAATTTGCAGTTAGAAAGCCCATCTGCATAACTGCAATTATGATGCCCAGGAAGAATTTCTTGGTGCACATCATCTGTATCATCTTGCAGCGACGGTGGTGCACCACCATCTTTTGTATGCTCTTTTTTCGGGATTGACAAGCTTTAGCAATGCTGTCTTTGTATCCCTTAGTCGCATCTTGTAATCCTTCTTCCATGAAGCAAAATGAGATTTAAGATTTCGGAGCTCTTCATAAGGGTTTATGGCTCCTGATTTCACCTCAATGAGTAAGCCAGCATCAGTATCGAAAACTTGCCTTTGCTGATCAAACTCCTTTATCAGTTGGATAACTGCATTACACGCGGTATCATTGTTTCTTACTTGCATGGCATCAGATGCATTAGGCAGTTTAGCTAGTGTGTCTTCTGGTGTTTGAGCACCAACAGATTCATCATCTTCAGCTTCATAGTAATGATTAGTTTGTGATGCATCTGGCCATCCAGGTTGTTTTGTCATTTCTTCAGGAACAATGCTCTTTCTTCCAGCAGTAAAACTCATCTGCAGTAAACCAATGATCTTTTCAGCAGAAGACATGCTTTTGAGAGAATGAAACTTAACACTGTTGTTTTCAATATCGAAAAAATGTTATACCCATGACTCTATGAGAATGGAATGATCAATATGCCTACTTGACCTTTTATATGATATCATGGATTCTCATGATCTGTAACTATGTCCAACAGACAAGCAAAATAATTGTGCATAATATCTAGGAAATGTTAGTTTAGAACCTTCATGGTATACAATCTCTTCACTAACAACAGAGTACATAATGGTTCTAAAATATTATAACCAAGCTGGAAATTGACCTGCAGAGCAGTCAGTTGTTTCTGCCAGGTTTCTTCCATAGACTTCATTTTCAACTCATACTCTGACCACCTTGTCTCATACGCCTGAAGCTGCTGCTTCAAAATAACATTCTCCTCTTCTTTCTCTCTCAGTGCTGCTTCTGCCTTGCTCATCTGACTCTTAAATTCGGCCAGAATAGAGGGGTGAATCTGAGGAGGCTCATTGTTGTTGGTGTCCTGCAAGACGAAACTCCAACCCTTTTAACAGGGAGCACAAATATACATATAAGTTGCAATCTCTAAATCTTGATCAAAGTCAACTGCTTAGTTGGATCTAAAGAAACAACACTGCAGTGGCCAATAGTTCAAAAAAGGACATTAAAAACATTTGCCATTTGCAAAAAAATATGAAAGTTTGCATCCAGATATTTGCGGCACTGAATAGCTTCATCGTTTACATGAGTAATTTGAAATAATGTTTTCATCTTAACCAGAAACCCTAGCCCAAAAAACCAGAAGATGAATAATTTCTATGGAGAACGAGGGAAAACAAAATCAAACAAATGCACAACATCATCCTTAGTGATCAGTATTAGTCCATGAAACTAGAATAAAGTACCTTAACATGAATGACCTTTGACACCTCCACTTTCTTTAAGACCGTAAAATGCTTACTGGCCAGACAACCACGAATAACTGCAGAAGAGTGAAAATTCATGATCAGGGCAAATATCCAAAAGCAAAAAAGAAAATGTACTTGAAATGTATGAATATGTTACCGGACTGCAAAAATATGATATCCTTCTGCTGATTTTTGAACACAGTTCTAGCAAGCCACAGCCTCACATGCTTTTGGATAAAAACAGCCGCCCTCCATCTCTTCATCAAGAATTCAAAATTATGCCTTGCTCTTTCACCTCTTACAACTGTTTTTTTAGCACACATTTCCAATAAAAACATTTAGGATCAGTGGAACCTTTCCCTAGAGAAACAATGGCTTCTGTCTTTGACATAAAAGAAGATAAAAGCATCTAGGATTACTCTAAGATCCATTTAACCAGATAAAAGCATCGATTGAGACAAGTGCAAATATAACATTGCCCTATTGTTAGGCTGCTAGATTATCTAGTGTGATATAAAGTTTGCTTAAAGATATATGAGCTTCAGAAACGCAAATTGCGGAGTTTTCTATACTATGCACGTACATGATTGCAGTGTAGTTGCTCCCTTCTTCAGCTGTTGATAGCGAGAACGAGCCCGAACACCACGATAGTTCTTCTGAAGCCAGAGGATACCCTGCAATGTTTGATTTCCAGCATCTCCTAATCCAGCAACCTGTGGCAATTATATACGAGATAAAGCTGAAAGTAAAAGACATCTTGTAATGTCAGAAGATAAAAGGACCCGATAGATAATATGTTAACTGATTGTTATGGATGATTGCTTGTCAATGATGTATACCATTTTTTCATCCAAGTTCAAGCAAACTCAATCCACTGACAAGTAATTTAAATTGGATCCGCATAAGCCGATGAGACAGGCAATTATGAGAAAAGTATTGAAAACAAATTGGCAAAAACAATCACTAGAAATAATAGTTGAAACAAACTCAATGGTTTCTCCTATTTCTGTTATTCTTTAAATTGCTCCTACATCTTTTTATGAGACAACATATTAGCAGTAAAATGCCAAAACACATATAATCTAATAACATCTTCTAATTCTCAACAATTTTACAGATTTGTAGGTTACTTTCTTATTATATTGACATATTAGCAAACTCAATTCACTGACAAGT